ACGAGGACTTGAAGGGCTTCGGTGCAGGGCTCCAGCCGGTCACCGGTCAGGACCTCGGACAGCTCCTTGCAGCGTCTTCCTGGGGCCACAGCTTCAGCCGCTGCGGCGCGCTCAGCCTCCACAATGCACTGCTCCGCCGGCGGCCACCGCGGCGGCAGGAGGAGGAGACCAAATGCCTGTTCAGTTCATCCCTCATTCCTGTGCCAGCGCAGCGTACATTGCTGCTTAGGGAGCAAAACACTTTCACCGCTTCCACGGGAGGAGGAAAAACGGAAGAGGAAGAGAGAAAAAGGTAATTGCCCAGTTTCCCGGCAGGGGACAGCTAATTGCTTCTAATTACCTGCTGTTGCTCGCCCGGTGAATATTGAACTGACATTTAGCATGGGTTTGTCTTTTCTCTTCTCTCTCTCTCTCTCTCTCTCTCTCTCTCTCTCTCTCTCTCTCTCTCTCTCTCTAACTCAAAGAGCGTTACACTCCAGGCAGACTTATACTCAAGTTGGGTGAGCTCTAAACAGAAAGGTGGAATCTCCTAGTTAATCGGTTGGAGTATAGCCCTCTCCTTTCCCCGGACTTTCAGTATTCTGTCAACACAAGCAGGAGGGCAGAACTGTATGATTATGAAGCTTACACGGAAGGCATTACTAGTAGGCCACCTCCCAGGTGACCACTGGTCTCTGAAAAGTCATAAATGCAAAAGCCTTCAAGGTCATCACCTTCGAGAAAGGAGGGCTGGTCAGCGCAGAGAAAAGCAGACTTCCTTGGTGCAGGTCTTTACCCACAAAAAACATCCAAGAAAAGGATGAGTCAACAGTGTGTGAAAAGCCTGGAGACCAATCAAGAAAACTTACTGCTTCCCCTACCAACTGAAAACTAAGCCCCAATCCATACACATCCAGTTCTACTACAAAAATACTGTGTCAGGCTACACAGTCATTTCATGATTCTAGTCTATTGCTCATTTTAAGATACTATCTAGTTCCCCAAGTAATGCTTGTGCAGTGTGGACAGCTCACACTAGGATGTTATCCAACTTCAAACAGGCCAATCTGTGTTACAGCCCAGAGCTAAAGTGTTATAGGACCCTCAATATAAAAAGAGATATCAGTCACTTTGGGTTCTATCCTCTGTTTTTACAGCTGAGTGTTTTTTCCAGGAACAAAGAAGGATAAGGATCATTTCCAATTTTGTATGGGCTTTGTGCACTTGCTCTCCCTGGAAAATAAAGCTATCCTGAAAAATACAGTATTTCTTAAAAATGTGGCTTGTTGCCATAATTCTACACTCCTTTGGCAAATATATAGCATTTGAATAGCCTATTGGCACAGATTTTGTTCAAAGCCATCTGATAAATTGAAAATGCAAGTAGTTTTTACAGCTCTTGAATTACAGTTTGTATGGAAGCATATGGGCAATCTCAACATAACACAACCGGTACTGCTCTTAGTACCTGGCTCAACAGAGGCTGGAACATATGGGGCCTGTTTCAGAGCCACAAGATGCAAGTTAGCTGATGGGCAGAATGAAGTGTGTACATGGCAGGACGCAACCCTCTCAATATCCTCAGTTATACAAAAATTAGGGATCAGTGATGCCTCACTCTGACTTCTTTGCTTTATCAAAAGTGTGAAACACTATTCTAAATAACATTTAAAGGACCCATTTCTTTTAACATATTAGAAAGGGTTCCCTTTTACAAACTTTATTTCTTTTTTTTTTTTAAGATTTATTTATTTATTCATACAGAACTGGGGTACAGGCCAGAGGCTCAGGGACGGTGAGAGGCTTCACCAGAGACAGAGTGGGGAGCAGAACAGGCAGATTGACGAAGTCCACTGCTGAGGGGAGCAGCGGGCGGGTCAGGAGAGGTCTGGCTCGCCATGTGGTCTCCTCCTGGGGAGGCGGCAGGCCGGAATCGAACTCATGCGGAAGTGGCTTCAGATTCTCAGTGCTGTGCTTTAACCCGCTGCGCCACCAGGGAGGGCCCAAACTTTATTTCTTAATGAACTTGATTCTCCTAATTCATAAGCAATTACTCAAGACTAAGTTCAAGAAAAAACACTGTGATACAGATATAGGAAATAAAAAAGAATTTGGAATCAGTCAGGCAGCTAGAACAGCCACACCAATTACAAATTATATAACCTTAAATAAGTTACTTATTTAAGTTCTGTAATATAAGGATTAAGATACCTGCAAGATGCGTTGTAAAGATTAAATGTGATAATGGCTTTATGGATTAAACAAGTGAGTACACAGACTCAATAATATCTATTCCAGGAAATCACTGACACTTAGAAATAGATGAGATCCTATAGTGATACAAAGGAAATAATGTTAGATCAGTACTTCTCAACTACTAATGTACATGTGAATCCAGTGGAGATCTTTTTTAAAATGCAGATCATGATTCACTGAACCAGGGTGGGGCCTGAGATTTGCAGAAGTTGCTATTTGATTGACTATATCTTGAATAGCAAGGTAGTAGATGTATCAGTATTTAAGACAAAAAGAAATTTATTATATGTTCAAACTCAGAGTAAATTTTTACAATGTTAAATAAGGAAGAAACCTAATGGAGTCCCATAGACTCCCAATGTAGCCAGAATCCAAGATGGTAATAGAAAGAATGTCTGAAAATGATTCCAAAGCTCCTTTGATTAGTCTGCTGTGACAATAAAAGAGAATGCAATCCAGTAAAACCAGTGCAATGTTCAAAGACAACATTTTAATAATTTTTATGCTATTTCATCTATAAATTCTATATTTAACAATTTACCTCTAATTTTTACTACCATTGGAGTTATTATTTCTGTTCACTTAATTTAAATACCTAATAATGTCACTAGATTTTGATCTTTTTTAAGATAACAAAATTATTTATGCATACAAGAACTGGGGTGTAGGTCAGAGGTGGGGCGCAGGGGGTGAAAGGATTCACCAGAGACAGAATGGAGAGGAGAACAGACAAATTTACTGAAATACACTGCTAACCGGGGCAGCGGATGAGACAGAAGAGGTCCACTTTACCATGTGGGTCAGCTCCCTGGCCAGGGATCAAACTCATGCTGCAGTAGTTGGTAACAGCTTGACAGTGCTGAGACTTAACTGCTTGTACCACTAGGGAGGACCTAAAGTTTTATTTCTTAGTATAAACAATCAATTAAAAAAATAATACCTGATAGAAAAATGAAAATTCCCTTTTATTCTACTGTATGAGCCAGATTTCTTTTAACAGATCCCTATTACTAAAACTTCCATCTTGATGTAATTGATTCTTTCTCTTTTTAAATACCTTTACTCAGGTTGGCTCAAATAATGCATTCCATTTTGAGATAGTCATTTACTACTACCTACCTCATTCTGTCACCTTTATTTCCAGTCCATGACAGGAATAGTGATAGGAGGAGATGGTAACCAAGTGATGCCCTGACTTTCTTGCTCTGGTGCTGAATTAACAAGCTGTGCACTCCTACACTAGAGATAGTTGACAAGGTATTAGATGACTGGAAGGCCCAAGCATGCACACACACATATACACACACATACATACATACACACCACACACACAGAGACACACACACCCTAATAGGTGTGTATTATTTTACTTGGAGACTTGGGATAATTTTTCATACAAAAAAAAAAGAACATGATACACTATGAAATGATTATTTTCACTGGCGCCTCCAAAGATACCAAAGGCAGATTAGGGTTATAACCCTAAGACTTTATCAAGTCCCCATCCATTCCTCCTAATATTCATTAACTTTATTCTGTCTCTAGAAATTTAAATAACTAAATAAGCTTTAAAACCCATTCTAGACTATTCCCTCTGCTTCCATTATTTGCAACTCAGATTGGCTCCAGTCACACCCTGACTCTTTCCAGTCCATTCATAGTTTATTTTCATTATGAAACATTAAACCATAATTGTTTCCAAATACCTAGATTTGTAGGTTTCAAGTGATTATAAAAATAAAATTCTAGAACTCTTCTCTTCTCCTACCACCTGCTTGAAGTCACTGAATTGTGCCTAAGAAGGGGTGTATAAGTGAAGTGAAGTTGAAGTAAGATAAGAAATATGAAATATGATATAAAGAAACATGAAAATGGAAGTGCTGAATGAGGAAGAAGACATTGAACATCTAATATTGCACTCTCCAGGCTTTAAAGATTTTGAGAGAGATTAAAAAAAAAAAAAAACAGAGAGGGGAAATAGCATGAATTGAAAAGAAATGAAGATAGAAGATAAAGGGGAAGGAAGAATAAAAATAATGACTTCCACATTAGGAAAATAAACAGGAAATATTAAAGTATTTTTGCAGGTTTAAAAAGTACAGGTTTGCATTTTATGAAACTGTTTATGAATCCTTTAAGAGGCTTCAAAGGGATTCTATAACAGCCATGGCTTTTCAAAGGGAACATCAACACAACTTCTTTACTAGAAAAAGCACATTTAGAACAATTAAATTTTTATAATTATTTCCTTAAAAAAATCTAATTTTAAAAAAAGATTTATTTATTTATATATGCAAAAACTGGGTACAGGCCAGAGTGTGGGAGGTAAGAGGATTCACCAGAGACAGAGTGGGGAGCAGAACAGGCAAATCTACTGAAATACACTACTGAGGGGAGCAGCCAGCAGGTCAGGAGAGGTCTGCCAGGCCATGTGGGTCAGCTCCCTGGCCAGGATTCAAACTTGTGGTGCAGTGGTTGTGGATAGCCTCATAGTGCTGCTCTTTAACCTTTTGCACCACCAGGGAGGGCCCTAAAAAAAATCTAATTTTGCTTGAAGAACTTTTGTCCATTTTTAGACAAAAAGTTGCTCCAAATTGCCAAAAAATGTTGATGACAGGAGAGGGAGAATCAGTATTGAGAATTATAATCAAATTAAAGCCAAGCTGGCTAGTTTTTAATAAGAAGCAAAAGAGTTCAATTCACCTAACATTCTATTAATCTTCAAATCTGTAAATAGACAAAATGAAACTTTATAAATTCTGAATGCATCAATCTATCCATTTATAGGTGTCACATGAAGTCAGCTTCAAAAGAGAAAAACCAAAGAGTGGAAGAGAACTGATAAAAGTAGAAGAAAAAGAAATAGCAGAGGAACATTAGAGAGGGAGAGGCAGGAACAGTAAACAGAACTAACCTGCAAGAGCAATGAAGGGAGAAAGACACAAAAAGAAGAAAAAGTGTCAGATTAAGAAATGCAAGAGATCTTTAAAAACAAGAGGAGAAAGAAAAAGAAATAATGACAAACTTTCTTAAGTTTAATGACTGTCTTCA